AGAATATTTTTGACTTTATATCGTAAACGTGGACAAATTCCTCTGGTTACTTTTGTTTTAATTTTATTTATATTTTAAGTAAATCAGATGCAATATTTTGACAAATGCTGAGAATTCCATTCTGTATTATAAGTACTGTTTTTGGAATAAAGTAAATTATTATTATTAATAGGTTGGCTAAGAACTGAGACACCAGTGAACCCAAAGCAATGCCTTCCGTTTGGTGGTAAAAAATCCCTCTGAATGTAAATAAAGTGGAACAAAGACACATTTCCAATGCCTTCATAATCTCAACTGGATTTAAAGGACAACGAGCATTCATTTCGTTGACAGAAAGAAGTAAATTATAAACCAGTGGCTCAATGGTCTACGACCTGGCCTTGTAATCAGCAGGTCCTGGGTTCGAACACCGGTGGGTGCATATTGATGAAGAGTCCCAAACTGAGAGGAAATAGCTACCCAGTACTCCCAGGTTTTCCAGTGGTTCTCTAACTGATGTCAGCTCATGATGAAATCCTCCATACAATCAAACAAAATCCTACAAAAGCAATAATTGAAAATATAAACCTCTGTTATGTTAATTTCGATAAACTTCCTTGAAGAAGTTCGGACCAGTTCGCCGAATGAAATGTTGCAATTACTCATTTCGATCTCGCTGAGATCATACAGATACATTTTTTACAAACATCGGTTCAGGTTGAGGGAATAAAATTTACATTTGAATCAGAAAATGAACCAGGAGAATTACCTATGTTAGATTGTAAGATAAAAAGGATGGAAGAAGGCAAACTACACACTAGTGTTTACAGAAAACCAACACATTCTAATAGATATTTAGACTTTAATTCGTCTCATCCGTTAACTGTTAAGGCAGGTTTAGTGAAGTGTCTAACAAACCGAGCCATAGCACTAAGTTGTATAAGCAAAGACCTAAATGATGAACTAAAACAGATAGAAGAGGCTTTGGTGTTGAATAGCTATCCTATGAAATTCATTAGGAAGGCCAAAAACAAAATAAAAATAATTGTGAAAATAGTAATAATAACATAAATAAGAGAGAATATAAGTCATCCACAGTTATACCATATAAAGAGGGGACATCTGAGACCCTCCCTACGTAGGATTGTAAATAAACTAGGAATTAGGGTGGCATTTAAACCTACGAACTTACTTAGGGACAAGCTCTGTAGGTTAAAGGACCCAATTAGACAAAAAAATATAGTTTACAAAATACCCTGCAATGATTGTTATGTCAACTACATAGGTCAAACTAGTAGGTCAGGGGTAGTCAGATTATCAGAGCATAAGAATTTAGCTAAGGTAAGAATGGTTGACCCCACCCGAGAAGATAAGTAATTTAGAAAAATGCTCAGCAATTTCAATGCATACATTAACACACAACCACACAATAGGGTGGGAGAGGGTTAAAATTCTAAAACGTAATCTAGGTAGGTGGAGAGAGAGATTGATTACGGAATCCTTGTTCATTGAGTGTACACCCAACACATGCAATAGGAATGATTCATCACTCATACCCGAAATACGGAAAATACTACTATCAATCAAATCAAGTGAAAAACAATGGAACTATATAAATGAAGTTAGGAGGTCGTATGATTACCTTGGTATGATTATGAGCAATAAATTGTGCTCGAAACGTCATCAGTAAACATCACTGTATAACACTGTGAGACTTTATGAAAAGAAAATTTGCACATAATGGAATCACACTATACCACATTGCACAAGTTTTATTCTTGTAGGTTTGTGCAAAAATTATCACGGGTTAGCGTGTGAGCAAATAATTTGTATCGGTAGATATCATTGGTTTATTACTTTTGTAGTTAATTATTGGTGAGAATATGTACAAACGAGGTTTGATGAATTTTTATACCGGACTTGCCTGACAGTTTTGGCAGAAGACAGATTCGATGGTATGTTTTGTCACTAATGGTATATTTTACTATGCATCTTGTCCAACCGAAGTTGACAATATTACGTGAAATAAGTTAGAAATACCGTTGTGAATACGAATTGTGTACACTAAGTTCTCCTGTTTTATGACTTTTGATAGCTAATAGGTTGGAAAAGTCGGACAACAGACTATGACATAAATCCAGAGGTTTATTGCTTTTATGCACAACAAAGTGATGCATTGATAAGAAAAATGAAAGGTTAACTGAGAATGTGTTAGTCTTTGACAGCACCTGGGAATTCGTTCTGAAATGACTTAAGGTATACGATTCATTGTGATTGTGTTTGGCTCTACGCATTTGTAGGCCAGTCAGTGTGCGGTAAAGACGGATGCAAAGGTGCATCTTCGATTTGTGATCATGACTTTGCTAGGTCGTGTTCAAATAACCTGGGTAAATACCCAATGTAGTGTCTAGACATTGCTTATACATGTGATGTAAGATCAATATTCTTAAGGTTAAAATGTCCCTAAGGCTGCACGAAGTGTTGAGACTACTTCTTTGAGGAGAACAAGTAGTTGTGTGGGATGCTGTAAGTATGATGGAGTAGATTTATAGCTCAAGTGAGTTATATTGATTTAGTTGTGAAGATTTCACCACTTCTGTACATCTCTTTAAATTGTAGTATGCTGTGGAGATGTCTCGAAAGACAGTGAGAGTTTCGTAACTAATCTATCCATCTGAGAGACGATGACTGCACGAAGGGTTGCAAGTGTTTCAAATAGATTGGGGAATCTGGAGTCAATTTTAAGTTTCAGATCGATTTTCATGTTGGCCATGTCATGTGTTTTCACCATTGCAGTGGTAATTGGTAATGAGTAGATAAGAGGAAGTGCGTAGAGTATCGTGAGGTGGTGCTATGTTCACGTTGCATTCTGCAAGTGTCGTTCTAGCAAGTGGCTTGTAGCGGTAAATAATTCCCCAAAATTATTGACCACAGCAATCACTCATTGGATGCTGACCACCACTTTTTAAGTCGACTTGTTTAGCTGAAGGCTTCCGGTCAAGCATCCCCGCCATTTGGTACCCCGTCGTGTCACGTGCACGATCACTAGCTAGCTAAGCGTTCGTCTATCGGCTGGTTTTGGTTCCTAAATACATTTCTTCGTTTGGACGACCAATTATTGGCTTTTGCTTTGTCTTTGGTACGCGAGAATAAATTAATTAGAAGTTGTTGAACGAGATATCACGTCAAACCTTTAATATCTCTCAACCTTTAAACTGGTGAGCCCAACCGCGAACTTCACCCACGATAAATCCGCCCACCTTTAAACTGGTGAGCCTAACCGCGAACTTCATCTACGATAATTACTCAGATAATCCCGGTGAGTTCGTTCCATTTTGTATTTGTTCTTGTACCATATATTATTCGACATAATTTTCGTCATGAGTGATCTTAGTCCCAAGGTCATCCGTATCCGCTCAACTCCTAAAACCATTCAGCTCGTACCATACTGGCCAGATAATGCTGAAACGTGGTTTCTGCTAGCTGAAGCAGATTTTTGTGAGCATGGGATAACCGATCAACGTTCACAGTTACTTGCAGTTATTCACGCCCTACCGCGGGAATTCAGCAAGTACGTAACATCACAGATGTTGAGTCCCGAGGTAAGTAACTCGTACGAGTTGCTGAAAGCATCCCTCCTCAGGAGAAACGCTCTCACGGACAGACAACGTCTAGATGAATTATTTCGCAACATCGAGTTAGGAGATCAGTCAGCCGTGAGCATGCTGACAAGAATGAAACAAGTCGTCGGCCAAAGTCAGTTCGACGAAGGACTGTTTAGAGAACTCTTCTTAACCAAGTTGCCACAATCTGTACAGACCGTACTTGTGACACTTGAGGGTACTGTAATAGAGAACTTAGCTATTACTGCAGATAAGATCCTAGAAATAACTAAACGGTCTGTCCCCGAAATATGCTCAATGACTAAGCAGACTTCGAGTGAGGATCCTGCAATGACAGAGTTATGCAACTCCCTTCAGCAGATGTTTAGGTCAAACACGTATTCTAAATCCTCCAACCGTCGTCCTAAATCTCCTCAACGCAGGAACTCGCGTGGTCGATCTAAGTCCAAACCACGTTCACTGAAAAACCCTGACTGGTGCTGGTACCACAACACCTATGGCCAAGAAGCGAAGTGTTGCCGTAAGCCTTGTAACTTCGGAAATGTCTCAAAGTCTGCGGGAAACTATCCCGCCGGCACGCGTTAGCGGCAACCGTCGCCGGTGGCACTAGCCGCCTACTTTACATCCATGATGTGATAAGCCAGACTCGATACTTAGTCGACACAGGCGCCGAAGTCAGCGTCCTTCCTGCTACAGCAGCAGATCGACAGAAGGAACCTACCTTCAACTTACAGGCTGCAAATGGAAAACCAATCGCAACCTTTGGTAGGAAATACGTCTATCTGAACGTAGGTTTACGCAAACCTATTCGGTGGATTTTCCTTCTCGCTGACGTTACAATGCCCATCATTGGCACGGACCTACTTAATCATCATGATTTACTCGTAGACGTCCGCCGAAAACGACTGATTGACAATACTACTAGTCTGTCTATCAAAGGCATTACCTACATAGGCCCTAGCTTGTCACCCGTTAAGATAAAGGCAATTCTTGATCCAACTTTTCAACCTATCGTTGACAAGTATCCGGAACTTAATTGCCCGTCGAACGACCTACCGTGCATAACCAGCAATGTTATGCACCACATCATTACCACAGGACAACCTGTGACATCTAAAGCACGACGATTAGCTCCTGACAAACTGAGAATCGCCAGGAATGAATTTGACCATATGCTTAGCCTTGGCATCATTCGACCTTCGAATAGCCCATGGGCATCCCCACTTCATATGGTTCCGAAAAAGGATAGCAACGATTGGCGACCCACCGGTGATTACCGGCGAGTGAATGCCAAAACAACCCCTGATTGCTACCCGTTGCCTCATATACACGACTTGACGGCAACCTTATCCGGCGCGACTATATTCTCCAAAATCGACTTGGTTAAAGCGTATAACCAAATCCCGATGGCAACAGAAGACATCCCGAAAACGGCTATCATTACGCCTTTCGGACTTTTTGAATTTCTACGTATGCCATTCGGTCTTCGGAATGCAGCCCAAACATTCCAACGCTTCATTGACGAAGTATTTCGCGGTCTCGACTTTGTATACGCATACTTAGACGACTGCCTCATTGCCAGTCCAGACAAGGAAACTCACCTTAGGCACTTGGACTTGGCATTTGACAGGTTACGCCAACATGGTGTTACCATCAATATTCAAAAGTGTCAAATCGGTGTTGACTCACTCGACTTCCTGGGTCACACTATTGACTGCAAGGGCATTCGCCCACTGGCTACTAAGGTTGAGCCTCCTAAGAAAAACCGTTCTGGACGCACCGTAAGGTTCCCAGAACATTTGCACACTTATTTGACTTAACGAAGTCGTGTGATTCACGCAACTCACTCGTTCGTGGTACTAACTATTTTTTTTTGACGTATAATTTTTTTTATATACAGTACCACCAAACACAAAAATTTTTTTTTCAACAGTTCATGTAACATACACAAAAAAATTAATTATATGTATTTTTTTTCGATGTTCTGAACTTAGCATTATTTTACTGTATAGTAAATGCACATAATTTTTTTTAACCAAAAAGGTCATTTCGTACATTTTCCTCGACATGGTTCTTAGCGTTCTTGTTTTCTTTTCCAGGTGCGACGGGCACTGGACGGGAAACAAACGAAGCACGGAATCCAACGAACAACACCAGGAAGCTATGTACAAACACCCCATTAGCATAGGCAGACAAACCAGTAGGCATAAGACCAAGCCGCTCGGAAGATTTTTTTCACCCGAAAGGGAACCATCGAGTTTTTTTTACTTCCGGCTGGTTCTGTCTTAGGGTCCTCACGACCCCACTAGGGGGGAGTGAGCTGTAGCGGTAAATAATTCCCCAAAATTATTGACCACAGCAATCACTCATTGGATGCTGACCACCACTGTTTAAGTCGACTTGTTTAGCTGAAGGCTTCCGGTCAAGCATCCCCGCCATTTGGTACCCGTCGTGTCACGTGCACGATCACTAGCTAGCTAAGCGTTCGTCTATCGGCTGGTTTTGGTTCCTAAATACATTTCTTCGTTTGGACGACCAATTATTGGCTTTTGCTTTGTCTTTGGTACGCGAGAATAAATTAATTAGAAGTTGTTGAACGAGATATCACGTCAAACCTTTAATATCCGTCAACCTCTAAAGGCTATTGTGTTGCAAGATGTCACTAGGATACCTTTATCTGGAGGCGCAGGTCGCCATCGATGTGTGAGATTGTGCTGTGAGTATGCTTGTGGTGTGTTGGCTTTTCTGTTTGTTTTCCATTTCAGCTCTGTCCATGTGACCCAGGTTCTCGCAATGGCATCCAAGTCAACGTGTATAGGTCGTGATGGAAAAAAGGGATGGATCGGTATTTTGCCGGGGAGTGTCAGTGTAGTTGAAGATTGAACGATCAATTCATGGTTGTTTGCTCAAACCCAACTTCCCTATATTTTCGCGGAGACATCGATACACCAGTCATCGTCTCATCGGTCGCTGTTCAGAAAGAACTCAGGACAAAACTGTCAGAAGTAATATTGTGATTTATTATTGTAATATTTGTTCATAGACCTTAGTTAAAACGTAATATTAAAGCTGCCTATATGTTAGTGTTACAATAAAGAATTCTCGAGTAGTCAATCGGTGTTTCGGTTTTGCGTCCGTTATTACTAAGCGTTTCTGAGAAACTTCAAGGAACAGCGTGAGTCCCAGCGTAGCAAGAGCTGGGTATTGACGGTTTACGAGACGTGGCTGACAGTGGTAGTCAGCATTCAATGAGTAATTGCTGTGGTCAATAATTTTGGGGAATTATTTACCGCCACAGCTCACTCCCCCCCTAGTGGGGTCGTGAGGACCCTAAGACAGAACCAGCCGGAAGTAAAAAATCTCGATTGTTCCCTTTCGGGTGAAAAAAATCTTCCGAGCGGCTTGGTGGTGTGTCTACTGATTTGCCTACCTATGCTAATAAGGTGTTTGTACATAGCTTCCTTGGAGTTGTTCGGTGGATTCCGTGCTTCGTTTGTTTCCTGTCCAGTGCCCATCGCACCTGGAAAAGAAAACAAGAACGCTAAGAACCATGTCGAGGAACATGTACGAAATCAGCTTTTTTGTTTTAAAAAAAATGATGTGCGTTTACTATACAGTAAAATAATGCTAAGTTCAGAACACCGAAAAAAACATCTAATTAATGCTTTTTTGTGCATGTTACATTTACTTTTGAAAAAATATTTAGTTGTGTTTAGTGATACCACATAAAATAAATTGATACGTCAAGAAATATTTAGTACCACAAACGGATGAGTTGCCTGAATCACACGACTTCGTTATGTCATATAGGTGTGCAGATATTCTGGGAACCTTACGGTGCGTCCAGAACGGGTTTCCTTAGGAGGCTCAACAGAAGATTCGGTAGCTGTCACGGTGCTAGTGACTTCATCGAGGTCTAAATGATCTTCGGTTACTTGTGGATTATGGGGTACGTTGAGCTCTATGCTAATAGGATTACCTTCCAAGTAAGCCGGTTTCAGACGGTCGATGCTGACGGTGTCCTCGTGGCTGTTTTTGTTCAAGACAAAGAATTTATCCGAACGTTAAACAACTTCATATTATCCGTCGTATGTAGGTTCCAGAGGTCTGCGCACAGAGTCACGACGAACAAATACGTGTGAAGAAGTTTTCAAACACGGGTGAACGAAGATATCAGTGGACTGTGGATGAAGGGGAGCAGGTTTAACTGAACGCATTGCGTTTGTAAGCCTGCTGACGTATGAAGCGTGATCTACCACTGGTGGGAAGCTCGAGGGAGAAACAAATTCACCAGGCAGTCGCAGTGTCGTGCCATATACTAGCTCGGTGCTAGTACAACTAGCATCGGTTTTCAGGGCGTTTCGTATCCCTAGGAGAACTAACGGAAGGGATTCAGTCCAGTGGGTGTTGTTTGCAGCCGGCAGACCAGCTTTCAGCTGTCTGTGTAGACGTTCTACCATACCATTAGCTTGAGGATGGTAGGCTGTTGTTCGAAAACGCATGCAACCTATGATTTTAGTCAGGGCGAAGAATAAGCCACTTTCGAATTCCCGCCCGCGATCAGTTGTTATGGAAGATGGGCATCCAAAGTTAGCGATCCATCTTTCTACGAAGACGCGTGCGACTATTTCAGCAGATACGTCCTTGATGGGTACTGCTTCCGGCCATCGTGTGAATCAATCAATGCAAGTTACAATATAGGTATATTCATGGGATTCAGGAAGGGGTTCAACCAAATCTGGAGTTTTCTAAATGAACGTATCAGATCTGTTAATGGATCAAGAAATGCAATAGTATACAGTTATCTCGATGAGTTTATCTGCAGGATATATTTTAACATGAAAATCAAGATTCCTGTGAGAAATTCGGAGATTTTTTTGCAACATATGCAAGATTGTTTTCCTTTGTAACTATTTTTAACATTGCATTCCTTATATTAACGGCTTATTACAATTATGCGCGGATTTTTTTGAGCCTGCTGATTGGTCGAAGTTGTCCTTGTCAAGGTCATTTGTCCGTTTGCTGGTTCCTTTCTGTTTTTGGACTGCTATTCTTCAGAGTTGACTCTCTCTGTTATACGGGACTACAATAAACATGAAATAGTGTGTGAGGGCCTCTCATTTTGTGGTGGCTGCCGTTCAGTGCTGTCGTTTAGATAAGTCAGTGTTGGTTAGTGGGGTGAGGATATAGCCTATGACCTGTTATATTTTCCGCGCCTCAGCTTTCTCGTCTTTCAATGGCTAGAACAGTGGCGGTCAATTGGTCATTTGATTTGTCCTTGGTAGGTGCTCTCGTGTGAGGTTTTGTGTGGTTGTGTTATGCGTCGTTTGCAAGCAATTTTGACGAACATATGTGTAACATTTGACTATTCTAACACTGTTTCACTGTTTTTTATACAGATACACTGCTCTTTTCGTTATAAGCTCCCTCAAAACTGATTAGGCATTATTATGGCTTTCAGTGACTACCATCCCGTGGGTGACAATCTATTTCTTGAGTTCTGGTTATACGTAGAGTGTTTCCTACTTCGATATTTCTCAATCACATAGTCTGGCATCCTGTTTTTCTTAAGAATTAACCGTGAGGAGCTGTGGCAATAATGTCCTAGCTAGCATTTTTTCGGGCGCATTGAAGAATTTTTGGGGCAAAATCTTCGGGTAGATCTACTTACGTGGGACAATGTCCCGAAGTCTGCCCCAAAAAGTCTGCAATGCGCCCGAAAAAATGTTAGCAATATCGTTTTCACGATCTAGTATAAACGGATTTGATTTCTTTGTCCTCGCTTATTCATTGTGAGGTAAAGGTTCTTGGTCTTTAAAAAATGTCTGCGTAGTTTGTTCCGTGTGACTGAAAGTTTCTAGGTTCAACCAATTTCACTCTCAGTCGTCTTACATTTCTATAAAGGCAGATGATAGTGAGTCCCACTGTCAATGCAGTTGAAGATTGAACGATCAATTCATGGTTGTTTGCTCAAAACCAACTTCCCTATATTTTCGCGGAGGCATCAATACGACAGTCATCGTCTCATCGGTCGCTGTTCAGAAAGAAGCCAGTAGAAAACCGTCAGAAGTAATATTATGATTTATTATTGTAATATTTGTTCACAGACCTTAGTTCAGTTATTATTTTTATATGTTGGTGTAACAATAAAGAAATCTCAAGCGGCCAATCGGTGTTTTGGTTTTTTTGTCCGTTATGACTAAGCGTTTCTGGAAACTTCAAGGAACAGCGTGGGCCCGAGCGTAGCGAGAGCTGGGCATTAACGGTTTATGAGACGTGATTGACAGTTTCTGACGATAGAAACAGATCTGGCGGATTGAAACAGTTGGTGAAAGTTTGGATAGTCACCGTTCATTTTTCCTGGTGCCGGTCAAGTCCTCTTTGAACAAGCAATATCTGGAACTTTTTTGGAATTGGGTCAAGTTCAACAATGCCTGGGTCAAAGAAGTGACGGAGTGTCTTGGATGCAAACAGGAAAGTAAGTCATGGTGACTTGTCTGTTAATTGTAACGATGTGTCTGATGTTAAGCATGACATGGTTGATGTTACTGTTTCGCCGTTCAGGGATAATAGGAACATCAAACTCCCTAAATGTGAACCACGGTGTTTTGATGGAAACCCGGCTGATTATTTACAATTTGTAAAGGAGTTTGAGATCATGTTGAGTAGTTTTCTATTAAGTGATGAATTGAAATTGATGTATTTGATGAGGTATTGCACTGGGGATGCTGCAAGAGCTATACAGTGTTGTAAGTTTATGAAGCCAAAAGAGGGCTACGATGAGGCTATGGGCATATTACGTCAAAGGTTTGGAAGACCTTCAATGATTGTAAGGAACGTATTCGAAGCTGTCAAAGGTAATGGCAGCCAATTTCGAGATGACTCCAAGGCACTTACTGAGTTTTTAGATAATCTTATGACTTATAAGAATACCTTGA